TATGGTATGAGCAAAGAGAAGACTAGAGACGGCACCGAAAGAGTTTAGAAAAAAGGGCGACGCATGAACGACGGAGAAAGTAAGATTGGGACTCGAGTGGCAATAGAAAAATCAAGAGACGTAGAGGCGGTTCAGAATAAAACAGAAGCCGAGTTGGAAGGGTGCCAGTAGAGTAAGAAGAGGAGGAACCCGAGAGCACAGGTTCAAAAGAGCTCTGCTGCTGGGGGGGTCAGACCCCCCCCCCCCCTAGCAGGGATGGCTTTAGATGTGCAGGGGGGGTACCGAGCAATGTGCGGCCGCTCCTGGGGCTGGGGGCTGGGCCCTGGCTGGTTCAGTTGAAGTTCCGGAGTAAAAATTTACGTAAAAAATCGAACGCGTTCTCTCACGCGTCACGGTGACCCAAAATGTCCACGGGCGGTGTCGCTCGACATCCGGTCGACAGCGTGTCGACAGCGTGCCGACAGCGACACAGACCCTGTGGGACGCGTCGATTATCGACCTCTACTCGAGTACTGCTTACCCAGCCCTAGACCCAGCCTTCGAGAGTGTACCCTGGCTGTGGTCCCACACCCACTGGTGAGTGGTGTCAATCTCAGAGACCGCAGGAGGTCACGAGGGTCGAGGGGGAAACTCCCTCTCCGTCAGGGTTCCGGCTCCTAGCCAGATAGGGGGTCTGTTGACACTGACTCGCGCCAAAACGCCCTACCTACCTACCTATCCCCAGGCCGCGTTGCGAAGCAAAAAAGATGAAAAAGGCGAAAATAGTACGCATATACAATCTGCACAGGTTGTCGGGGACACGATCCCGGCGTGAACACAACTAACTGACGATCCGCTCCTGACAGTGGCATGCACCGCGCTGCGGCGCGTGCCACTGTCTTTGTTTGAAGTTAAGAGTCGAATCAGAGCGCCGTCGGCGTTGTCCCCCGATTTTCTCCCCCGGACCGCCCGTCCGGCACCGCTCCGGGACGCACGCCGGCGAAGCACCATCAAGCTGCTGTATGTACGGCCCCGGCATCGCCTTCCAAGGCTTAGCTAGACTGAGAGATATTGTGCACATGGTTGGTCTCTACAATATATACACTGACACTTCACCTCCCAGAGCTCGTCCCGGTCCGCCACGGCCATCCTCGGCCTCCGGAGGGCCCCCGGCCGCGGCGCGGTGCGGCGGCGTCACAAATCCGAACGCAGAGCACCGGGACGCGGTCGGGCGATCTGAGGACCAGGTAGGCGTATGCATTGCCCATCCAGGGCTATCACCTGGACCTATCAACAGGCGCCTGCGGCGCCGTGCTCAGGAGCTGCTACTCCAACCTGTTCACACTTCCGATACAAGGGGTAAGAACCGCTCGCTGATGATCATACGCGCACAACCCACAGACCCCGGCCCGAAATCACATGTGTGTGTATGGCGCACTCCCTCGAACGTTGGAAGACATGGAGCGCCTCTAAGCTGCCTGGCCGCGCAGTCAACCGCTTCGTTCGCGGCTGGGCCGTGCCGCGGCTCAGCCTGAGCATCGAGGTGCACCGCACCGCCTGCATTGTGACGCACCCGCCCGGCGGAGAGGGCGCCAACGACGCACTCTGCAACCCGGCAACGAGCGGCAGACCACAGAGCCTCGCCTCACACCCCTCCCTGAACCGTCTCGGAATTTCCTGGTAGGCCAACGAGCGGCTGCAGGGGGCTCGCTTCACACCCGACGAGTGCTGGACAGAGCTGTACGGAGGCTCGCGGCCAGCCTCAGGAGCCGGCCCTCAGGTAGGCGTCTCACGCCGACCCGTTTGGCGCCGCAGACCCGACGACAGGCCGGTGGGACGAGAAGTTTCTCACCTACCCCTTCCAGGCAGCGGGTAGCAGCTAGTCGCTCATAGTTGATCTCCCGAGTGAGACGGACCGCGGCCTCGCACCCGCCCCTTCCAGTCGATCGACGGCCTCGTCACTGAGTTTGGCGGCGCCGGCCTGCGCGCGGCGCTGGAGGCGCAGCCTGCGGGCGAGGGCGGCGTCCGCTGCCAAGTCGGCCGAGCGGTGGCGACCGCCTCGCACGGCGAGCTGCGTGAGCTGTACCCGGTCGCGATCGTGCACGCGGTGGCGCCCTTCGCACCACACGCCGCCGCCGCCAGCGAAGGCGGCGGTGGCGAGGGAGGCTTCGGGGAGGGCGCCTGGGAGAGAGGGACCGTCGACGCGTACCGCGCGGTGCTCTCCGTGGCAAGCCCGAGGGCGAGGGGCGTGAGCAGCGGCCCTGCACACTCGACGCGTGTGAGCAGGCGCTCTCTGCTGCCGAGGCCGAGGGCGTGGCCTCGCTCGCTCTCCCGCTGCTGGGCGCCGGCGTGCGCGGCATCGACTTGCCCCTCGACGAGTCGATCAAGGTGGCGGCCCGCGGCGTCGTCGGCTGGCGCTCCTACGAGGCACCCGCCGGCCACCCGCCGATGACTGTGCGCTTCGGCGTGCAGAGCAGCAGCACGGCGCACGCGCTGTCGGCCGCTCTCGAGGCTTGCCTCGGGGAGGCGGCCCAGGGGGCGAGCGCGGAGCAGGGCGGCTTCGAGGTGGTGGCGCCGCCGCAGGGGGAGAGCCCGCAAGCGAGGTGGGCGTGAAAGCACGTGGTTCGTGGGCCCGTGTGGAGGGTTCTTTCTCTCTCCCAGGGTTCAGTGACCGCAGGCCGCCGCCGCCCGCGCCTGGCCTTGGTCGCCACACTTGCTTGTATTTCCTGTGTCCACCGGTGGAGAAAGAAATAAGAGAGCTGCGCGACAGCGGGTGTTTTCTTTTCTTGATTCTTCCTGCTGTGAGAGGGGCTTGCGTATGGTGCACTTGCCACTTGGGGGCTTATATGGCAATAATATGGCCGCGCAAGAATTCTTTTCTTCACTGGCCCCCGGCCCCCCGTGGGAGCGTGGTGTACCTGTGTTAGTTGCCCCCAGTTCGCGCCAGAGAGTGAGTCCCGAGATTTTTAGCAATTGTTTTTTTCCCGTGCCCAGTGTAGAGAGAGATTTTAGAAACCCAACAAGAAATCACGACTCTCTCTTCCAGTGTAAAGAAAGAAGAAAGAAAGCGAAACAGAAACCCCAAACGAGGGATGGAGGAGGACAGGGTCCCCACCTGCACGAGCAGGATTTTTGAAGGACGAGGAGGGACACAGGGGGACGGGAGTGTGGAGCCGTGCCCAGTGTTGTTGGGCGCCGAAAATTCTTTTCTACAGTGTGTGGGCGAGGCAGCCGCCCTCTCATCTTCTCTCACTGCGCGGTGCGACTCCGACGCTCCTGCTCCGTCGCTCCTGATGATAAGTAACAGGGGCTCGCCTCGCCTCTCTGTCGCCAGCCGCCGCCTCTTTTGCTCCTCCTCATCACCGCCGTGGCTCCAGGGCGAGTTCCTGCCGCGGCACCATCGGCGAATGCCACCGCCGCCGCGGCTCGCCACCATCACGCCGCCAACAGCCGAGCTCCTGGACGCGTTGCCGATCTCCGACGGGCCTGTCGAGACGCCTCGCGACGCCCGCGCGCTGCGCGCGTGCCTGGTCGGACCGACCAACGCAGGCAAGTCGACGCTCCTCAATGCGCTCATCGACTCGCGCGTCTCCATCGTGTCTGACAAGATCCACACGACGCGCGAGAACACGCTCGGCTACCTCACCGACACGGCGGCGGCGACGCAGATCGAGTTCGTCGACGCGCCAGGCTCGCTCGGCCCGTCGGTCCCGATCATCCGCCGAGCCATCACCGAGGCGCTCTCGTCGGCCGACCTCGCGCTGGTCGTCGTCGATGCGGCTGAGCTAGCCCGCGACACGGCGCGCAGCCGCCGCACGCTCGCGCAAATCAAGGGCTTCCTGGCGCAGCTCACGAAGGAGCTCAGCGCGCAGGAGATGGAGGCGGCGGGCGATGCGGCGGCGGCTGACGGCGGCGGCAGAGGCGGACGCGGCGGCGGCGGCGGAGGCGGAGGCGGCGTGCGCGGCGTCCTGGGCCCGCGGACGCAGACGGCACTCGTGCTGAACAAGGTCGACCTGGTGCGGCCAAAGACGAAGCTGCTGCGCGTCTCCGAGGCGCTCTCCTCCACGGGCCTCCACTCCTTCGACTGGCCCGGCTTCATGCTCTCCGCGCAGACGGGCGACGGCGTCCGAGACCTGCGCCGCTGGCTGCTGACGATGGCGAGGCCCGGCCCGTGGCGCGTGTCGGCGGGCGTGTCGCACGTCCAGCCGCCGCTCGTCATCGCCTCGGAGGTGATCCGCTCCCACATCTTCCGCTGCTTCCGGAAGGAGCTGCCGTACACGCTGATGCAGCAAAACTTGGGCTGGACCGAGATGCGAAACGGCGGGGTTCGCATCGACCAGCAGCTGCTGCTGCCGCCGAAGAACGGCATCGGAGGGCCGGCCAAGGCGTCGACGCGCGCCATCGTCGAGCGGCGGCTGCCGATGGTTGGCAAGGGGGCCGGCATCGAGCTGAGCGAGGTGCTCGGCCGGCCCGTGTCGCTGGTGCTGAGCATCGGGACGCAGGGGCCGGCAGAAACGATGGGTCTGTGACCCCGGACGAAGAAGATTGAGGGCAGGTGCAGGATAGGATTAGGAGGGATAGGATTTAGGACCCGTACCGCTCGCGGCAAGAAATTCTCCTTCTTTCTCCACCCGAGTGCGAGTCCCGAGCTAGAGTCAGCTCGTAGCACGTCTAGGGGATGGTCACCCGGCTCCCGGCCTGGCTGAGGTCATGGTGATCAGGTGTGTGGAACAGAGCCTTTAGCTGGCCTTTAGCGAGGCGCCGCGGCCGTGAGTGGCTCTCCCAGGCGCTCAGTCCACGGGGGAGGCACGCCAGGCCCCGGGGTGCCGGCCGTCACTCGCCTAAGCGCCTAACGAGCGGCTGCGCGTCGGCGTATGCGTTGCAGGCTATTCCCACGTGCGATGGCACCCACAGCCACACGAAGACCACCGCCTCTAGCTGCGATCTATAGTGAGCAATCGCGGAATCGCGCCTCTAGGAACTAGGAGACCGCGCCTCTCTCCCAGTCCCTCAGACCTTTTGGCATCCCTTTGCGGTGCGCATTCTCAATCTGCTGCAGCGCGGGTTTGCAGTCGCATAGTACTAAGCACCGTCGCTCGCGCGTCTGTGCGTCGCTCGCGCGCTCGCCATTTTGCGTAGAGCCGTAGGTATGCGAGTATCGCGTACATCTCCGCATCTATCACCTCCCACGTGTTCGGCAGCTTTCCTCCCCACATGCCCGCCCCAAAGGCTTTCCGTATCTCCTGTTCGTCACAGGGCCCGATTCCGTTGGGACCCTTTACCTGTGCGTCCCCTGGGACACGCGCCTCCCAAATCGCGTCGGTCCTTCGAACACGCCGTACGCCACCCTAGGGTTCGGCACGTACTTTCTATCCTCTGCCAGTTTGTCTTCATGGTCCTTTCCTCTGTCCGTCGCCGCAAAGTGTGTGAAGTGGTGTGAGACGTGCAGCGCGAGGCATGGGTCTGCGCTACTTTCACTTTCAGGGCTCGCCCCTTCCCGGATCGGAGCGGCTCGCTGTCTTTTCCCATCTTGATTTGCGCTCCTTTGCCGTCTCTCAGCTCTCCCCCCGTCTCAAATTCGTCGTATCGGAGCAAGAAGCGCGTTAGGGGGTCCTCCTGTAGCTCCCCTACTCTGATCGCGCTCGCCCCGTGTCCGTATCCCACAAACAGCTCGCCCCTCGCACCTAGCCGCCCCCATTCTCGCAAGACGTGTGAGCATGAGGGGGGTGGTGGTACCCCCCTACAGGTGCCCCTGGCCAGGCCTCTGACCGAGAGGGGGGTACACCTCGCGGGAGCCAAGACTGCTCGACCGACAGGGGGGTGCCTGCCCAAGACCCAGGTAAAACCCGGGTATACCCGAGAAAGTCCAGGTTTACCCGAAAAATACCTGGACGCGCGTCCACATACATGCCGCAGCACGCCATACTCCCAGGGCCCCTGTGCCAACTGCGGCGCGCACCGCCTGCTCAAGTACGCGCACCGCACCATGTGTGCTCGCTACAAGTGCCAAAACGCAAAAGGCAGCATCGGCGCCAGGCACGGCTTGCAGGCGGCGGTGCGGACGACGCGGTCGTGCCAACATTCTGCTACAAGATCGAGGCGGTGCTCCGCATGCGCTTGTGCGACCCCGATCAACTGATCGGAAAGAAGCGGCGCAACAAGCTGACTGCTGCCGACACACTATTTGCTACCTCACGCGCGGTGAGTTTGGAGAGGATGAACACGACTCTCGGGTTTCACCGACACACGCTGGGTGGAGCTCGAAGAGCTGTACGAGAACTGCGGAACGGACGAACGTTTGAGTGGTGGTAGGAAACACGTGTGTCCGTGTGTGTATGAACAATGAGTATGAACATGCAAAGTACTCTATCACGTATCGTTGTCTCTCACTCACGTGTGACACACACTGCGAGCCGTCCTAGCTACACGCAAATAACAGCACCAACCAGCGTGTGGTTACTTCGGCTCCGCCTCCCATGGGCGCGGCAGCTCCTCACAGCCGTCAGTGCCCTCGCAGCAGCCAGCCACACCGCCGGGTGACTTCTGGCAGCTACAGCTGGAGACGCGCCTCGTCATGATACGCACTGTTTCGTCTGGCAGTTGCACACGCTTGCGCAGGCCGCAATCAAAGTGGAGGAGGAAGCGTCCCTTGCGGGGGGCACAGCGGCTATTGTATGCAACAATGGTAGCGCTATAGTAGTCTTCGTCCTCCTCGTCGCCGTCTTCAGGGCACCACAACACCGTGCAGCGCCGGCCAACTAGTGACGCGTCATATTTGAGGGACCCGTTCTCCACGGCAGCTGCTTGAGCATCCCCTCCCGCGCCCGTGGCCTGATGCGGTGCCTCCCACTGTGCCGCTTTCTTCTTCTGAGAGTAGTGCTTCTTGAACAGTGAGCGTATGCTCCCAGGCTGAAGCAGCGTCTCCTTTGCAAGCGATGCAACTAGCGCATCCGGAGGCACCTCGGCCGCCTTTTGCGCCGCCGCCGCCCTCTCCTTGGCCGCTCGCGCTTCGTCCGCCTTCGTCGCTGCCGAGGCCGCTGCTGCTTCAGCCTGGGCTGAGTCCGCGTCTAGCTCCGCCACAGCCTCCTCCCCAGCCTCCTCCGCAGCAGCCGCCGCCTCCGCCGCCTTCCTCTCTGCCTCCACCGCCGCCGCAGCCTGCTTGGCGTAGGCGGAAGAGACGACGCGTGACACGAGCGAGGCACATAGGCCTGACGGTCCAAGATGGCGGCTCTCGCCCCCAACCGTGCACCAGCGTGCCTCTCTAGTCCCGCCTGCCACCCAGATACCGAGAGCTGGGCGCACTCTTCGACTTGGGCTATTATCTGCCCTCGGGAGGGCGGCGGCGGAGTAGGGGCGGTGGCGAGCTCCCGGTTGCCAATACTCGCCTGACGGTCCAAGATGGCGGCTCTCGCCCCCAACTGTGCACCATCGTGCCTCTCTAGTCCCGCCTGCCACCCAGATACCGAGAGCTGGGCGCACTCTTCGACTTGGGCTATTATCTGCCCTCGGGAGGGCGGCGGCGGCGGAGTAGGGGCGGCGGCGAGCTCCCGGTTGCAAATACTCGCCTGACGGTCCAAGATGGCGGCTCTCGCCCCCAACCGTGCACCAGCGTGCCTCTCTAGTCCCGCCTGCCACCCAGATACCGAGAGCAGGGCGCACTCTTCGACTTGGGCTATTATCTGCCCTCGGAGGGCGGCGGCGGCGGAGTAGGGGCGGCGGCGAGCTCCCGGTTGCCAATACTCGCCTGACGGTCCAAGATGGCGGCTCTCGCCCCCAACTGTGCACCAGCGTGCCTCTCTAGTCCCGCCTGCCACCCAGATACCGAGAGCTGGGCGCACTCTTCGACTTGGGCTATTATCTGCCCTCGGGAGGGCGGCGGCGGCGGAGTAGGGGCGGCGGCGAGCTCCCGGTTGCCAATACTCGCCTGACGGTCCAAGATGGCGGCTCTCGCCCCCAACCGTGCACCAGCGTGCCTCTCTAGTCCCGCCTGCCACCCAGATACCGAGAGCAGGGCGCACTCTTCGACTTGGGCTATTATCTGCCCCCTCGGGAGGGCGGCGGCGGCGGAGTAGGGGCGGCGGCGAGCTCCCGGTTGCCAATACTCGCCTGACGGTCCAAGATGGCGGCTCTCGCCCCCAACTGTGCACCAGCGTGCCTCTCTAGTCACGCCTGCCACCCAGATACCGAGAGCAGGGCGCACTCTTCGACTTGGGCTATTATCTGCCCTCGGGAGGGCGGCGGCGGCGGAGTAGGGCTAGGGGCGGCGGCGAGCTCCCGGTTGCCAATACTCGCCTGACGGTCCAAGATGGCGGCTCTCGCCCCCAACCGTGCACCAGCGTGCCTCTCTAGTCCCGCCTGCCACCCAGATACCGAGAGCTGGGCGCACTCTTCGACTTGGGCTATTATCTGCCACCGGGAGCAGGGCGGCCGCGGCGGTGGCACAGGCGACAAGTCTTCAAGCACAAGGGCCGACGACCGATATTTTGCTTGCAAAAAACGCAAAATCTTCTTCGCGGGGCTCCGCCCCGCACCCCGCCGGGGCTCCGCCCCGGACCCTAGCTGACCGAGGGGGGGGTAAGCTACCGGAGGGGGGGTCAGCTGCCGCTGGCTCGGGACCGCTGAGCGACAGGGGGGTGTAGGTACCCCCCCCCACCTCCACCTGGTCAGACCGTCGACCTAGAGGGGGGTCCCCAGGTGCGTGGGGGGGGGTGTTTGAAGATGACGCGCATATCACGGCGACTTCACGTCGGAACGAGTCGGATCGACGACTCCCCGCCTGCACCAGCGTGTGCGCCTTGCAATTCTATACAGAATCGACACGTGGTACGTCTTCTCAATCGCTCGTGGAGAGGAGCTACGGCCATTCCTAAGTAGTGTTCAACGACGTTGAACAATGTTCAACGTCGTTGAACACGGTCCAGTAACCGTTAGGCCCTCCAAATTCGGGTCGGAGCGTAGCGGAGTGGGCCCCGAGTTTGAAAAAGGGCGACGGACGCTTGCGTCCTAGCCTCCAACAACGCCTCCCCGGCGCAGAGGGGCCCCCGGAGGGATGCTCAACCGCTCCACGCCACGCCGCTCGCGGCGGTCCTATTCCCAGCTCCTGAGGGCCCGCGCGTTATTATTTTGCTGGCAGCTGGCTTGCCGTGTGCCACCTTCTCTGGCTCACTGCGGGCAGCCGGCCTCTTGCCTCTCCGTCCCCCGCTACCCTCATCGATGTGCCAAAAGCCGCTCGGCTCCAAGAAAAAATCAAAGTCCACAAAGGCCAAGCCCGTCCTCGCGCCCGGCGCTCTCGGCGCGTGCCCAGCCCTCGACCCGTTTCCGTACCCGCACGTGCGCGCCCCTCCCGGCCTCTTTGACCGGCGTGCGCTGCTGGCGGTGCGCGAGGAGCTGGCGTCACTGCAGCGCACCTTCAAGGAGACCGACCTCTTCAAGGTGTACCAGACTGGCGACCTGGCCAACCTCGACCCGGCAGACCCGCGCCACGCCGCCGCACTCCCGCGGACGATGGCGCTGCGTTCGGCGCTCTACTCGTCCGAATTCCGCGCGTGGGTGCGGCAGCTCACGGGCTGCACCGAGCTGACCGACCAGACGGACTGCTCGTGCAACGTCTACGGCGGCGGCGGCCACTTGCTCTGCCACGACGACGTCATCGGCTCGCGGTTCGTCGTGCTGCGCTCCTCCACCTCTCGCGGCGAGACCCCGACCCTCGACCGCGACCTGCTCCCAACCCTAGGTGCGTCTCGTACATCCTCTACCTCTCGCGGCCGGACGAGGCGTGGGAGGCGGCGCACGGGGGCGCGCTGGAGCTGTACGAGATGCAGGAGGCGGCGGAGGGGCTGCCGCAGCCATGCGCCGCCCCCTCCGCCTCGCTCGCCCCCGAGTTTGGCTCGATGGTGCTCTTCGCCGTCCAGCCGGGCCGCTCCTTCCACTCGGTGGGCGAGGTGCTCTCCGCCGACGAGCCGCGCCTCTCCGTCTCCGGCTGGCCCCACGCCCTAGATGCGGAGCCATAGAGGCTGCGCAGCCGGATTGCGGAGCCCGCTTCCTCCTCCTGCCTTGGTGTTGTGCCGTGTGTGCTCCAGCACGACCCCGCCCGGGCTCAGCCGCGCGTCTTCGTACTCCAGGTTCCATGCCGCTGCGCCGCCGCCGGGCGCCGACGAGACCGCCTCCCTCTCGCAGCTGCAGGCCGTAGCAAAGGCGAGCCGCGAGCCTCTGGTCCGGCTGCCTGCGCCGCGCAAGCCTCTGCGCGGCGCCTCGGCGGCCGAGGCGGGCGCGGCCGGCCTGTGGGAGATGGTCAACCCGTCCTACCTGGCGGCGGACAACCTGCGGGCGATCCGCGCGCAGCTCCTCGCGCAGGGCGTCGTCCAGCTCGCCTCCTTCCTCCGGCCAGACGTGGCTGCGCCGCTGCTCGAGGCGGCCGCCGCCGCCGACCGGGCCGACCGGCTCGGCGCGGGAGGGCCGCCGGACTACACGGCGGGGCTGCGCGGCCCGGGCGGCGGCTGGTCGGCCGTGGGCCCGCCCCACCTGCAGCGCTACCTCCGCTTCAGCGCCGAGGAAGGGGCTGCCCCGGGGGAGGAAGGGGCTGCGGCCGCGGCGGCGGACGGCGACACCGCCCGCGCCGCCGGCGAGCGGCTGAGCGAGGTGTCGTCGCTGCTGGGCTCTCCGCCCTTCCTGTGGCTGCTGCGCTGCATCGCGGGCGGCACGCCCCGCGCTTGGCGCGCCGAGGTGCGCCGCTTCCGGCCCGGGCTCGACTACACCCTCGCGCATGCCGGCCAGCTGCTCGGCCGGCGGAGGCTCGCCGCGCAGCCGGTGCTCGACGCGACCTTCGTGGCGGTGCCGCCCGCGCGCGCGGGGAAGGCTGCGCGCGCCGCGCGGCTCTGGGACTCTGGAGACGTGGGCGGCTTCGAGTGCGCCGTGCCGAAGGACCGGAGCAAGGCCGCCGCCGAGGTGTACCGCGCCGACGACGCGTCGGAGGGCGTCACTTCGGTGCACGCCGTCTCAAACTCGCTCGTGCTCTCGCTCCGCGCGCCGCAGACGATGCGCTTCGTCAAGTACGTCTCGGCGGCCGCCCCGGGCTCGCGGTGGGACGTCGCGGCCGAGTACAGGCTCGAGCAGACGAGCGCCGCGCAGTCGCCGCAGCCGAAGAAGCCGAAGGCCCGCGGGGGCGCGGGCAGCGCGGCGCCGGCGGGCAGCGGCGGCAAGCGGAGACGGCGCGAGGGAGGCGCGTCGTAGACGTTCGTGAGCGATGTGCGCGTGTGTTGGGGTGTGGTGACGCACTGTGGTGCTGCGGCACACCGCACAGCAGTGTGCTGGTGGGGCCGGTGCGCCGTCCCGGGGTGGTTGTTTTATCGCATCCCGTGGTGTGACAAAGAAGGAGCCAAATAATCAAAACACGCAGCAAATCACGGGACAAGCCATACAAGCTCTGTCCCAGCTCTCTCAGCTTCCCTCCCCCTCCTTCTCCTTGATCCTCCCCAGCGAGACCAGGCTCGGAATCTCAACGGCGAGCCACGGGGCCATGCCAAGCGCCATCGCGTGCGCGATCCCGAACCTCGGCGTGTTTTTGGACCAAAGCGGCGCAAAGTGGACGTCAAGGCAGATCTTCCCCCCGCGATACATCTTCTCTGTCTTGCCGTCGAGCTCGGGCAGCGCGAGCTCGGGCGGCGTGGAGGGGTAAGCCACCGGCAGGTCGAACTCGAGGTCGAACTCGTACTTTTTATGCTCGTGGAAGGTCCACACCTGCGGGCCCGGCCGGCGGCGGCAGGGTGGGGAGCCTGCGTGCACCCTCGCCCCTCCGGGTGCGGCTCTGTGGAGTGCGCCTTGCCAGTCCATCGGGTGCCAGTCTTGTTGGACTCGATGGTGAACCACTCGTTTCCAGCCTCCTTGTTCACCTTTTGGTACGCGATCAGCGCCATGTACTCTTCCTGCGGAGCGCAGGCGCAGCCAGGCTGAGAGGCGTGCAGCGGGCCCGCGTGCCGCTGGGCGAGGGAGCTCCTTCATTCGCTTGATCCACTCGTCGCCGTCGCGCGGGCCGGCTTGCACCTGCACCGCGGGAAATTTCGGAGGGTGACCTGGCCAGCGCCGGCCACAGTTGGCAGAGCGCCGAGCTTCGGGCGGCACACGCGCCGACATCAGCGGCAGCTTCTGCACGGTCTCCTTTGTCGTGTTGTCAACCCTGCCCGAGCGAGCAGGGATGAGCAGGTGAGCACTATGATTTTGTGGGCACGGCGCGATGCGTGAGTGGAGGAGTGGGAAGCGAGGGAGTTGGAACGAGCGTGTGGCACATGGCCGCGCTGAACGCTGGGCGGAAAGAAACAACAAAAGCAACCACTTCCGGAAAGTGACGCAACCCAATCAGGGACGTGCACCGCCGCCTCCTCCACCTGCGTTATGACCTCGACCATCGTCCACGACGGCAGCATCGAGCGGGAGGTCGACCCCGAGGAGGCGCAGTACATGCGTGCCGTCCAAGAGTCGTTGGCGAGCGCCAAGCCGTCGGCTGCGCCAGTCGCCGCCGCCGCAGCCTCGGTTGGCGCAGCGGCACCGCCGCCCCCGGCGGAGCTTGTTGCCGCTGCCGCGCCGAAACGGACCGCCGCCACCGAGGACGCGGCCGATCCAACGGCGGATCAGATCAGCCGCGATGCGGCGCTCGCGATTGCTCTCTCCGCGGAGCACTCTGATGCTCCCGCGGAGCTTCTCCGTGCAAAGGTCGTGCACGATGGCAGCATAGAAAAGGACCTGTGAGGTGCTCGATCGGCACGGTGTTCAGCAAGCTCGTGGGAGGTGACCAGCGGCTCTTGCATCGTGTGCCTACCGCTGTTTGGTTTGCGAGCCCAATCACGCTTGGCGCACCGAAGGCGCTGGCAGTTTGCGACCAACACACCGGCGCAGGTACGAAACCCACTGCAGTTGTGTTGGCCCGAGAGCTACTCGGCGGTCTGTGAGTACACATGACATGTGTGTGGAGTAACCCGCTGGCTCCGTGGTCCATCGGCGCTGTTCCTCGCTGTGTGCTTGTTGTGGCGCGCGGCGCGTGAGCGCGGTGAGAGGCGTGTGCACGGCGTAACACACGGTCGTGTACTTCTTCTTTACGTAACGTACATAAAAACGAGGAACCGCGCAGTCGTGACCAACGCATCAATGACGGGCGATAAAATCGGCCGCGGAGCGCGCGCTGCCGCGGGTGGGCCGCCCGTGTCGTCAGAGAGACGAGCGAGAGCCACATGAGAGAGACAGAGAGCACCTCTGCGGGCTCGCTGGCCCGCGTGCCCCCAACCCCGCGTTGGCGCGCTCGGCACTTAGACGTGCCGGGGCGTGTAAGAAGCGAGAGAGCGAGCGAGCCGTCCAACGGCTCCACTCCAGATCCTCTCGGGCGCCAACTCCAACCGCAGCCACATGCGGAGCACGTGTGCCAGGCGTCCACGTCGAGTGCGTCACTTGGCTCGCTTTCCGCGCTTCTTCCTGCTGCCGCCTGCCCGCGGAGGGCTGCCGGCCTGCGTCGCAGGGCTGCGGCACTGCTCGGACTCCTGCTCCTCCTTCGCGTGCGCCAGCGCCTCGTCAAAGCTGGAGCAGTCGAGCCACCCCCAGTCCTCCTCGTCGGCGAGAGGGCACACTGCCGGCTCCATGAGCGTCCTCGGCGACGCTTGCTCGGCGACCGCGCAGCAGACGCGACGATGCTCCGCCGGAAGCCGCGGCTCGCACGCCTCGCAGACAGCGACAATCCCGCACTTGGAGCAGAGGCGGGAGCACTTGCGGTTGCAGACGATGCAGCGGAAACCGGTGGATCGAACAAAGATGGACGCCGTCTGCCGATCGGCGCAGGTGATGACCAGGCGTGTAGCCTTCTGAGCGCTCTTCTGGCAGTTCTCAACAAGCTTCGTGATCGCCACAGCCTCGGAGAGGCCGGCTGGTGGCAGCGCCGTTGCGAAGCTCAGAAGCGTGTCGGTATCATTCGGAGGGATTCGCAGCAGCGCATCGACGGTCGCTGCGTCAAGCTGCTGAAGAGTCGCTTCAAGCAAGCCCACGGAGCGCACCTTCACCATGGAAACCAGTGTGGTCGTTGGACGTTCGCGTCACGGGCGGCAATTTACGCGTTCACGGCCTCACCATTTCCAGTGTTGTAGCTCTTCCCTCGCCAGTCACAGGCGGCCAGTCGAGTCTATTTTAGCGCAGCCATCACCCACCCCCGCCGCTGTGTCTGTATGTAAAGTATGTATCGGCTGTGTCTTCGGCGAGGGTGGTGCTGGTTGGTGGCGTCCCTACTGTCTGTCTGAATACGTTTTCCACGTATTCCAAATGACCTCCCAGAGGCCTGTATTCTGCCGTATTCCACCCGTATTCCACGTATTCCATGGAATACGCCGTATTCCAAGCTCCAAAAATGGACGTATTCCGGCTAAAAATTTTCTTCGCTCCGCGAATTCACACAGTAGGGCTGGCGTCCCCGTCGGGTCAGGGCTGAAGGCGGGGGAGACCAACCCGATCTCTCCGGCGTCCCGGGAGCGTGATTGACACCCCCCCTGCGCCAACAGCCCCGTGGAGGTAAACCGCTCGTCTAGCCAATCAGCCTTAAGCGAGCGTTCTGGCCGAGTGGCCGTTGGAATGGCCGAGGTTGGCGCTTGGCGGACTTGCGTCCTCGCATCGGAGCCTAGTGTTGTGAGAGAGAGGCAGCGAGAAATTGTGAGACACCTTTGCGCGCGCCGTGAAATTATTCTTCACGCTGCCTGTGCTGTGTCCTCCTGGTTGGTCTGACACTGGAGACTGGCTGGTCTGTCTGCGAACGAACCAGAACGTGGGGCTCTCGTCCCTACGGACTCGGCCGCGGGTAACACGCGCCCGCGCGGGCCAGCCGCGCGGTTTCCGCTACTGTCAATGAGGCCCGAGCTTCATGATTGGTACCGTGGGATGGCGCCGGCGAGCAACGTGAGTTTGCCGCGACTTTTTTTGCGCGCCAGAAGGAGGTGCTACCCGGTACAGGGTGGCGACTGCTTGGCCGCGAGGCGGGTGGCTCGAGCGTCTCGCCGGAGTCGCTGGGTGTGCACATATATGCTGCCCTCCGGCGCCAGTTTGCTGCCATACCCGCTCGCCATCACCTTCGCGCTGCTGCTTGCAGCTTCGGCGACCGCCGCCGCTGTTGCTCTCTCCCGTGTCGACTGGCGGCCTGCTGCGCTCATCGTCGGCGCTCCCGGCAAGACAGAGGTGGACGTGTTGCTGCTTCGAGCCATCGTTGCGTTGCCGCTGGCGCTGTCTTTTGCCTTCGGCTTTGTCTGCTGGGCCACAGTCGGTCCTCCGCTGGGAAAGGACCTCCTGCTGTCGCTCAGCCTGCAGCTTCCCGCCGCGATGGTGGCGGGCGCGACGCTGATGCGAGGCCGCACCCTGTCGTACCACTTTTCCAGCAGAGCTCAGGCCGTACTCGCGAGCTGCGCGGCTGTGGCAGCGGTTGCACAACTTTTGATTGCATACACGCCGACCGGCACGGCTGGGCAGCACCACTCTGCCTTTGCAGCGAGCAGCGCGGCGCTGCTCTCGCTCAACCTCGCCCCGCTGCTGGTGATGGCCCGGCTGACCGCAGCGCAACCCTGGCAGCCCGGCCGGGAGGGCGCCGCTGACACTGACGCCGACGATGACGGCACGCCGCCGTTTCAGCCGCCGCCGCCGCTGCTGGTGAGCGCAGCTTGCGCCGTCCTCTACGCCGCCTCCCTCGCGTGGTACGCAACAGCAGGTCCCTTCGTCGCGCCGCTCGAGCCGACAGCGACGTCCCTTGCCGCGGCGGCGGTCTTGTGCCTCGACGGCCTCGCGCTGCTTCACCAGCGGAGCGGCGCTCTGTCGTCTCGCGTCTCTCTGCTCGCGCTGTGTGCGACGACGCGAGTCGTGCTGATCGCTTGCGGCGAGAGCCACGTCGCCACCGGCGAGGCCCTGCTCTACGCTCTCCATGGTGGCTTGCTCGGCCGCCGCGCAATCGCATTGCGCAACCCTCCTCCTCCCTCGCCGCTGCGCGCTTACCTCGCTTCGCTCGTTGCGGCACGGGAGGGCGGCGGAGGGGAGGCGACGTCGGTCGCCGAAAGCGGCAAGGGCGACGACGGCGGCGGCGGCACCAGTTGGGCTGAGCTGTGGCGCAGCGTCTCCTCGGCGGAAGCCTCGCTGTGCCGGCTGACGGCTGCACACGCCGTCGCTGTGCTCGCGCTTGCCGGGACTGCTTTCCGGCCGCTGACCCTCGGCGGCTGCGCGCTGCCGCAGGTTGCCCTCGGCGCCCTCGCTCCGTTTTGCCTCGTTCTCGACCTGTGGGCGGCTCACCTCTTGCGCTCGTGGCGGCGGCGCGGCGCGAGGCCTGACGAGCAGGCATTCCTCCGCGCGGCCGCGGTTTGGAGCGTGGTGTGCCTCGGCTGCGGCGCGGCGTGTGCGGCGCTGCTGCGCTGTGCGCTGCTGCTGCCGCTGGTCGGGCTCTTGCCCGGGATTGCCTTTGGCTGCTCGGCGCTCCGCAGTGCGTGGGAGAGCAATGGCTGGGTCGCCATCGACGTTGCCGGGCTCAAGTCTCTGACTGCTAATGCGAGAGGCTACGCAATACTCGGTGAGGACAACGCCGGCTCTGATTCCGGATCTGGGTCTGCAGCTGGCCGCGGCGGCGGCCTACAGCGCTCGTTTGCGCGCGCTGTGAAGATAGCCCACGAGGAGTCGCCGCGAGACGTGGCTTTGCTGGGTGGCGCAGCTGTCGTGACCGCCCAGGTCATGCTCGCTGGCGTCGCCTTCGGCTGCAGCTTGGCTTCGGCTGCAGCCGGCGCAGCACTCACGCTCCTCCTCATCGAGTCCGTCCTCACCGCCGCAGCGCTCACCGCGGCGCACCACCGCCCGGACGCGCCAGAGCCACTCCTCGCCTTCTGCGGCGCCTTTGCCGCCACCCACCTCGCCGGCGTCGCTCTCCTCGCCGCGCTGTGGCCCCCGCCACTGCAGAGGCTAGCGAGCAGTGAAGCATGCGCCTTCGAGACGGTGGGCATGATCTGGGCGCTGCTCTCGCCCCTCGCGCTCTGTGCGGCCCTGTTGTGGGAATTCGCTGACGACGTAGATCGCACGAGTGGGGCGACACCACGCCACCTGCGGGTGGCGGCGGTGGTGACCGCCGCCACCGCTTCAGCGCTGATCGTTGTAATCGCCACGATGTCCCTCGCCGTCGCTGCCCTCTCGTCGGCGGCGGTGGCATTGGCGTTCGCTGCCACATACGCTCGGCACGAGGCGGCAGTCAACGGCGGCTTTCTCGGGCGCAACGCACGCAGTGCAGTAGAAAGAAGCCTTGCAGGTGCTGTGGCGGTCGGCACTCTCGTCGGCGTTTCCTCTGCTGGCGCCGTTGCCGTAGCGGGATGGACGCTGTCGTTGCTGGCTTCGGCCTCCGTCCTCGCGGCCGCTGCTCGCGCCTCACTGCGTCGGCGCAAGGGCCAACGCTTGCGCCACTGGAGCACGTCCGACGTGTGGTGGCTCCCGCTCCCCTCGACGGTGGTGATGGCTGACGGAGAGGTGCGGCCGTCTAGCGAGCCGGTGGCGCTGCTGCTCGCCGCGGCGGCGGCCACCCTCCTCTGGTCGACCTACGCCACGCTTGTCATCCCTCCACGCGCCGTCGGCGTCGTCACAGCATGGGCCGTGGCGCTCGCCTTGATCGACCAGGCTGCGGCAGCTGCCGCGTCGACGCCTCTCGCGCTAGGCCGTGCATGTCGGCGGCCAGGGAGTGGCGGGGCTGCTGCGGTCCGGTGCTTGCTCACTCACGACGCCGTCTCCGCAGCGCGCAAGGCCGCCTTTGCTGCGAGCGTGGAGGGGCAGGGTGGAGCTCACGAGTCGAACGGCGGCACGGCGCGCGGGTCGAACGGCGGCGCAGCGCCATCGCCGGACCAGACGCCTGAAGGTGCCGAAGCGTGGCTCGTCACGCGCGAGGGCGAGGCTCGCCGCGCGCTGAGGCTTGCCGAGGCGGGAGCTGCTGCTGGCGGGAGAGGGGGGCGCGAGGCGGCGTGGTCAGCCATGCTAGCGGCGGAGGCGGTGCTCGCGACGGTGCGGAGAGAGCGCATGGAGTACGAGGCGCGGCTCGCTGCCGCGCTGCTGCAGGCGGCGGCGGCGGCGGCAGAAGGCGAGGCGCGCGAGCTCCTTCTCTTCGCCTCGTCGGAGCTCTCCTCGCGTGGCGCTGCTGTCAGCGGCGGCGGGACGCTCGAAGAGGAGGTTGCGTCTCTGAACGTGGAGGAGCGCGGCCTGCTCGAAGAGGCGGCGGCGGATTTCCTCGCAGCGCGGCGGCGTCAGCGGCAGCTGGACGAGGAGCGAGCCGAGGAGGAGGCGCGCAGGGCGGCGGCGCGCACAGCAGCTCTTCGCGTGGCCGAGGCGAGGCGGCGGAAACTCGATGCCGTCACTGCCGACGGCGCCGGTCGCTTGCGACTGCTCCGCCTCAAGCTGCGCGACGCGGGCGCAGAAGCAAGCTTGCAGGCGGACGAGGTGGAGGCCGCTTCCGAGGCACTTCCGAGAGGTTGGTCTCCGCCCGCCAGGCCGACGTCGCCACCGCCGCTCGACGCTGAGGCGGTTGCGGCGCAGAGCGAGGCGGAGGAGCAGAAGCAGGTTGCAGCGTTCCAGGCCAGATGTGGCCTGTCGGAGGGAGACAATGGCAACGATGTTGTCGCGGCGGCGCGCACGTGGTATGACGAGGAGGAGGCGCGGCTGGCGCAGGCTTGCGAGGCCATGGTTGACTACGCCGAGAAGCTCGCCAGCATCGCGCGAGGTTCGGCAGACGCTCTGAGCCTCAGAGTGAGTGCGTTCGACGACGAGGATGCAGCTGCCGCCGAGGCGAGGCGTCGCGCGGCGGCAGGCGAGAGGCGCCGCGCCGCCGACGCAGCGCGGCGTGATCGGGAGAGGGAGGAGGAGGCGGCAGCCACGCGCGGCGGTGACGGCGGCGCGGACCCGATGGAGAGTCTGGTCAAGCCGATCCTCGCGCGGCACGGCGCCGGCTGCGAGTGGGAAGACGTCGCCTTCCCCGCCGCCGACGCCTCGCTCCCCGCCTCGGCCCACGGTGCGAAGTGGCAGCGCGCCCGCCAGTTGTGCCTCGCGCCTGTCGTGTTTGGCCGCTCGAGCAAGGCTGCCGACGCGGACGCCATCGATCCGTCAGATATCTCGCAGGGTGCGCTCGGCACGTGCTATTTCCTGTCCGCCCTCTCGGTCGCTGCGACGAGGCCGCAGCTGATTCGCTCCTGCTTCGTGACGACGGAGCCCAACGAGGCGGGCTGCTACTGCGTGCGCCTCTTCCGCGACGGTCGGCCGCGCCACATCCTGGTGGACGACCAGCTCCCCGCGCACGGCCACGGGCGGCCGCTCTTCGCCGCCTCCAAGCAGCGCGACGAGCTGTGGGTCTCGCTCCTCGAGAAGGCCTATGCCAAGCTCTTCTCCTCGTACGCGGCCATCGAAGGGGGGCACGTCGACGAGGCGCTCGTCGACCTCACCGGCGGCGTGGGTGGCGAGAACTTGTCCCTCGCCGAGGAAGGCCGCGACCCGGACAGGCTGTGGTCTCGCCTGACCGGGTTTGTGCACGCGGGCTACCTGCTCGGGGCGGGCTCCCCCGCAGGCACCGACACGGACGTGTCTGCGGAAGGAATCGTGCAGGGCCACGCGTACTCGTGCCTGAGGGTGGCCGAGGAGGAGGGGCACCGGCTGCTGCAGCTGCGCAACCCGTGGGGGAGGACCGAGTGGCGCGGGGACTGGTCCGACGCGTCGCACCTCTGGACGCCTCGGCTCAAGGCGAGGCTCGGCTGGAGCGACGCGGACGACGGCACCTTCTGGATCGGCCTCAAGGACTTTTGCGCGTCGTTCGCCCAGCTGTACGTGTGCAAGATCCCAAACCCGTCCTGGGCACACGCCGAGATGCAGGGGGAGTGGCGCGGCGAGAGCGCGGGCGGCTGCTCCAACTACGACACGGTCGGCGCCAACCCGCAGTGGTCCATCACCATCGGCGAGCGGCCCGTGGCGTGCCTCGTCTGCCTGGCGCAGGCCGATGCGCGCGGCACCGACCTCGACGGCGACGGCGTCGAGGACGAGCCCTTCCCCATCGGCCTCTCGGTCGTGTACAAGCGCGGCGAGCGCGTGCGCAAGCTGTACGCGTCGGACTGGTGCGCGCGGACGGCGCCCTTCCGCAACACGCGGGAGGTCTCCCTCGACGTGACGCTCGAGCCGCGCTCCGGCGGCGCAACCACGACTTACACGCTGCTGCCCTCCACCTTTGAGCCCGGACAGGAGCGCAACTTCCGCATCCGCGTCTTCTCGGACAGGCCCGTCGAGGTGGCGCCGCTCAGGTGACCGCGCGGCTTGTCACTCGCCACACTCGGACCAACCATACCTTATACACCTGTACGTGTGTTGCTACCGCCCGCGTCTCACCCCGTGGGCTATGTAAATTGTAATGACTCACCCTCTCGTCTGTGGGGTCTTGTTCTCTCGCGAGTGACAGTGTCTATCTCTCCTCTGGGTACCGAAAGAAGAGCCGATTTTGTGATATATCTCCGGGTTGTCGGTTTTCCCCCCGCGCGAGAGAGAGGGACCAAGACGCAAGAGACCGGGACAGACCGCCCAGAGTGCAGAGAGAGAGAGGACCATACACTGCTGTATTCACACAAAAAAAAAACTGTTCAAGTCTTAAAGGCAAAACACAACGCTCTGCGGTTGGTGCACCCCCCACACTGACACATTCCCCTCATCCCCTACCCTTGGCTGAGCACATCTACCTGCGAGCTAGCCTCTCCGCATTTTCTCTTCCAGTCATCCGCCCGCGCCGCGCGCCATCTCTGGGCGTCTAGTGCAGCCACTGACAGAGCTATTCCGAAGGAGTGGTCGACGCCTCGCCTAGAGTTCGGGTGGACTTGCGCACTGCTTAGCCCTGAGGGGGGAGTGTGTGTGAGGTGGTGTAATGTCGTCCCGTTTCAGGCGGCAGGTCAGGGGATTAGCCGGGAGGATTCGGCAGCTCAGCCGGGGGCTGAGCGTCTGCAGGCAGCCTTCCGCTCGCGCCGAAATTCACAGCCCTCCCGGGCCGACGGGGTGCTCCTTGGATCGGGCCCCGCTCCCCGCTTTTCCTGTACCTGGACTGTCCGGGTCAGGAGGGTGAGAGTATTGGGTGGGCGAGGGCAGTACATCTGGCGGGTGGGGATTGAGGGACAGCAAGAGGGCTGATTGTCGAGGCTGATTGGGGGGTCAATGGGCGCGGGCGGCGCTTCGTGGTCCTGGGCGAGCAGGGGCAGTGGTTAGGAGTCTTGGGCCTGGAGATATGAGGATTGTCGAGATGTCATGCGAGAGCGGTAGGTGGGCGAAGGTAGCGCGGCTGGAGAGTGGTGTCCGAGGGACAATGATGAGTTGTCAGTTGGGGCGCGAGACGCGCGGGACAGTGTCGAAGGCGGCCAGTGAGGTAGGGTTGGCTTTGAGCAGTGCAGCGAGTGTGTAGTCAAGCGTGGGAGCGGGGCGCGCGAGCACCGGATTTTTTTGCTGTGCGAGTCGAGTTCGTGGCCGGTGCGCGGGAGATGAGTTGTCAGTTGGGGCGCGAGACGCGCGGGACAGTGTTGGAGGCGGCCAGTGAGGTAGGGTTGGCTTTGAGCAGTGCAGCGAGTGTGTGGTCAAGCGTGGGAGCAGCGCGCGAGCACCGGGTTTTTTTGCTGTGCGAGTCGAGTTTGTGGCCGGTGCGCGGGAACCTGGCTGAAAACCCGCGCATCCGGCCGGTTGTGCGACCGAGGTCGCCGATTGTACGACCGAGGTCGCAGAGCCTTGGCGACGCGACGCGCACGTCGCCAAGGAGTTGGTAAAATGTCCGAGGTTTTTTTTACTGCTGTATTCACACAGGTAAGCACAATTCAGTCATCCCCGTCGTCTCTCTCCATGTACCATATAGTGGTCGCGTACCGGGGCTTTGCGGCGGGCAGCACCTCGTGCGGCGACCGAAAGTCCGAAAAGAAGAGAAGCAGGCGGTCGCCCAAAGGTGCGACGTCGAGCAGTGCATCACCTGCCGCTGCCGCCGCCGCCCCTCCCGCCTGCTCGTCCTCGTCGCCCTCGTCGCCCTGAGGCCTGAAGAGGCGCAGGCAGCCGCCGTCGGCCTCGCTCCACGAATCGTTGGCGTAATAGACGGCCGTGAGCCAGCGACCGTTGCAGTGCGGTCCGTGCCCGTTCGAGCAGTGGTTGTCGGTGTGCCGCGCGAAGGCTGCGCCGACGCCGTACCGCGACGCCATCGGCCGCATTCGCGACATGGCCGACCCCTTTCTGGCCAGGCCTGGCGCCGCGGCCCGCAGCGCCCGAACGAGCGCGTCAGCCGCGTCGACCAGCGTGGCCAGCGGCGCCCACCGCGCAGCGTCCTCGGCGGCGTCGATCCACGCGATGTGGTCGGAGCGGGTGCGGTCGGACCTCTGTCCGTTGAGCCCGTCGCCCGGCAGCGCCACCTTTGCGGGCTCCAGCACGCCGCCGCCCCAGGCGCGCTCGAGCGCGACTCGCAGCGCCACGCCGCCAGCCCGCCCGAGGAAGCCGTCGACCACTACGTGGTTGCGACAGCGGAGCGTCTCCGCGATGGCCGCGAGCGCGCCGTCGCTCGACCACCAGGCCCGCCCATCCCGAGCGTGCGACGCAACCTCGGGCTGGACGCTCGAGGTGTCGGCCGACAGCAGCGGCGGCGGCGGAGCGCCCGCAGGCACGAGCCCGTTGGAGAGCTGGTGGTACAACACCTCAGCCCACCCAGGCCACTCGGGCAGGTCGAGCTCCCAGGCGAGCGCGAACGCCTCGCGCATCTTGGTCACGCCCTCGGCCACAGCGTTCGCGTCGCACAGAGCTTCGCCCTCGATGTAGAGGAGGACAGCGGGAAGCCGGTTAGGCTTGGCGGTCGGAGCCCACGGAGTGGTGAACTCGGCCATGGTCACTGGGGCCGAGGCGTCCTCTTCGCTTGCCGTGCACGACCCTATCGTCACAGTGGGCTAGGGATCCCTACCCGGGTACGCTTGCCGTGACGATCGAGGGGTCCCGTACCAATCTGTTGAGTATATGAGCGACCCAGCCCGAGGGTTGCTCTCGACTCTGGCCTTTTCTGGGTCACGTAGCCACACCTCGCCTCCTCGGTGCGAGTGGCTGCCAGTTCGACTCTGGGGAGGATCGAACCACATTAACACTATCCAGTGCTCAAGTGCTCAACAACACCACACTGCACGCCCCACACCACCCCTCTACACTCACTTGCGTAGACGTTTGAGTAGACCCCCCTGCCTGAGGGCTCACCCCTCGCCTTCCCAGGGTCCCGACCCTCCTTGATTCGCTCTCTTGCTCGTCTCCCGATCGTTATGCGACGACCGGTATGGTCGTTTCCCTCGTTGTTGGTGTCGCTTTCTCCGCTGCCGCCCTTCGTCTTCGCCAGCTTCTCCCGGTTCCACCGCTTCCGAGGGCATCGACGGCCCGGCCGAGGTCTCCCCGGGCGAATGCGGCCGCAATGGATCCTCTCGCCGCGCCTCCCAGGAAGGTCGAGCCCGCTCTCCCTGGTCGACGAGTCGCGCCCGCACCCGCGGCCTCTCTATCGTCCTCGGCTCGCCAGGTACATACTTACGCAACACAAGGTCACGCACCGACTGCAACCCCGAGGCGAAGGGCGTATGCACATCCCACAGGTCGAGCCACTCTGAGTGGCTCCGACAGGCACGCACACACAAAAAATAAAATACTTCCCCAGGGACGTATCGAGCGTGACGCGACGAGCGGTGATGGTGCGCCCTTCGGTTCTCGTCACCGACCCGCAAGAGCCCACTCCAGAGGAAGCCGTCCAGCTGGCAGAGGCGGAGGGCTTGTCCTTGATCACGTCAAACAATGCGAGCGGCTACATGAATGTGTGGCCACGAGGGGGGGGCGATAAAGACGGGTTCTATGCCGTCGTGAGCCGGCTGGGCGTGCAGGTGGTGCTTGGCCGGTTCCGATCGCGGGAGGCTGCGGCGCTGTGTTTTGCCCGCTCGAAGGAGGGGCGAGCGGCCGCAGAGAACCTCAAGGGCGGCCGCAACAAGTTCGACAACAAGGGCGGCAACAAGAGAACCTCAAGGGCGGCCGCAATCCTGCCTTCGCCCATCGCGATCCCTCACGAGTGCCCCGTATGCTTCGAGAAGCTCGACGAGGCTGGCGCCGACCCGGTCGCCAGCGCGTGCAACCACGTCTTTTGCCGCGCTTGCATCGAGTCGGTGCAGAGCGACACCGCGACCTGCCCGCTCTGCCGCGCCACGCTCATCGAGGGGGGGCTGTCGCCAGCTTCCACGGTGGCGACGGAGGCGGAGGGGCTGCGACTGCACCTCTCGAGCCGCGGCGCCACCGGCTACAAGGGCGTGAGCAAGCACAAGGGCCGCTTCCGAGCCATTCACGAGGTGGACGGCAGGAGGGTCTCCCTCGGCTGCTTCGCCACGGCGGTGGAGGCGGCGGTGGCGTACGCGCGGCCCGTGCAGCAGCAGCGATGCAGCGCTCCTGCGGCCGCCTCCGTGGGTGGCGCCGCCCTCCAGCGCGGGTTTCTCCGCCGCGGGTGGCGCCGCCCTGGCCGGGTTGGTGTACCTGTCGGGTGGGCGATCGAAGAATGGCGTATCCAGCAAGATGCGGTGCTCCGGCGGCCACCCCGCCGCAACCGGGAGGAGGCGCACGTCGGGCCGTCCAAGGTGCTCGTCGTCGGCGGGACTGTCGCGGAGAGCGCACAGGACAACGGCAGGCTGCCGCAGTTCAGCGCCCGCGCACAGGCACGGCTCGGGCTCGAGGACACGGGCCGCGTGCGCGGCGAGTTTGTGGCCGCCCACTCGCTGCTTGCGCTGCGCGGCGGTGACCAGTGAGCCGGGTGCGAGTTTGGCCTCCGGTGAGTGAAGGCCGGTGTAGCGTCTGGGCCGCGCTTAATACAAAACAATAACGCAAGCTCAGTGTCCCCCCACGTATAAGCTCACACGCCGCCTCCGACGAGGCACGCGCCCGAACGCGCACCCCTGCACGCGGCCGGCGCGCCAACACGCCTCCGACGAGGCACGCACCCACAAGCGCACATCTGTACGAATCGCACGCCAACGCGCGAAAGGCTCGAGCGGGAGGACAATCTCGGCTCTTCTCCGCCCTCTCTCTCAGCTCCGCTCGGCTCCTCTCGGCTCCCTCTCGGCTCCCTCTCGGCTCCCTCTCGGCTCCCTCTCAGCTCCGCTCGGCTCCTCTCAGCTCCCTCTCGGCTCCCTCTCGGCTCCCTCTCGGCTCCTCTCGGCCGGTCTCAGCAGACCCCGGCACCGTTCTAGGATGCTCTTCTTCTCGCGCCCTTCTCGGGCCGTACCGGCGGAGCAGCAGAGCCTTACTGGGCCACCTGGCTGATGAGGCGAGAAACCCACCCACACCGACCGACCCATCCCCACCACCCAACCAACCCTCCGGCCACGGGAGACACAAGCAAGGTAGCAAAGCACCCAGCCTCGCGCGCGCGCCTCGGCTAGGGTTAGGGTTAGGGTTAGGGTTAGGGTTAGGGTTAGGGTTGGGTTAGGGTCAGAGAGTTCAAGCCGTTGTGCAGCTCCTAAGAACGGGCCGCTTCGGGTCGGAATGGTGGAACCAGCGGTCCGTTGACGCGAGCTCTCGGTGAATGCTCCGAGTTCTTCGGGTTAGGGTTAGGGTTAGGGTTAGGGTAGGGTTGTTAGGGTTAGGGTTAGGGTTAGGGGTAGCTTGTTGTCGTCGCGCCGATAAGACAGAGACACGGGCAGCAGACGCGACCCAATCGACGCACCAGAGCATGGTTGGGCGTGTGAGCCGCCATCTTGGACCGTGTGGTGAGGCTGAGGCGAGTATTTGCAACCGGGAGCTCGCCGCCGCCCCTACACCGCCGCCGCCGCCCTCCCGAGGCCAGATAATAGCCCAAGTCGAAGATTGGCGCCCAGCTCTCGGTATCTGGGTGGCAGGCGGGACTAGAGAGGCACGCCAGAGCACGGCCGGGGGCGCGAGCCCCGCCATCTTGGACTGTGAGGCGAGTATTTGCCACCGGGAGCTCGCCGCCGCCTCTACGCCGCCGCCGCCGCCCTCCCGAGGCCAGATAATAGCCCAAGAGAAGTCGAAGAGTGCGCCCCGGCCTCGACATCTCGGCGGCAGAGGCGACCCAAGCGACGCACCAGAGCACGGCTGGGCGTGTGAGCAGCCGTGTTTGACTGTGAGGCGAATATTTGTCGTCGGGAGCGCACCGCCGACTCTACACCGCCGCCGCCGCTCTCCCGGGGACAGGAGATAATAACGGCCGCCTCGTCGTCGAGCTCGGCGGAGACGATGTGGTCGCCTCGCGTTTGAACCCCTCGAGCTGCTAGAGCGGCGTCGCACTCGTCGAGAGCGCAACAGCAGTCCGCCCTCGGATGACTTGTTGAGCGCGCCGTGAGCCGCCCGTAAGGCACGCGGCAGTCGTCAGGGAGAGCGCGATCTCGGTCAGCTGGTGCCGCGCGTCGCGTGGGCACGGTGCGAGGAACGACATGCTGTGGCAACGACGAGAGCTGTGCCTCGAAGACGCGCGCGAGGGGAGAGAGAAACGACCAAACCTTACCCACCCACCCAACCACACAGTCACCACCCACCCACCCACCCACTCACCATCCGGGGACTACGAAGCGTTTACCCACCCACCCACTTTTTCAAGAACGGATGTGCAGAGGCACGTGGGTTGAGAAAAAACGCAACGCCGCCCCCCCCTGGGTTCCAACTTTTTCCGGGGTATGGTATGGTACCTATGCACGTCACAAAAGGCTAGGGAGGCTGGGTATGACAGGAAGGCGGGGGGGTATGGTCACCGAGGTGGGTTGCGTGGAAAACATACGATACCCCGCAAATAGTCCGAACCCTGCACCTGAGAGGAGAGGAACAACGACCCGATGGGAGGAGGACACTCGTCCACCTCTCAAGCCACCCGTGCTGCGGCTACTCAACACACCATGCCCGCCCGAGGTGAGGCCGTCGAGGCGTGGGTGCGCGACGAGATGGACAAGCTCGAGTCTCGTCGCGAGCGCCCAGACGAGACGGCCTGGGAAGTGGAGACGCGGAGCAGCAAGGCTCGGCGCGAAGCGGACGCCGCAGGCCTCGCGTCGCTGCCGCCCGAGCTGCTGCAGTTCGTGTGGGAGCACTCCACCGCCCGCGACCTCGCCAACTTGGCACTCACGAATGCTCACTGGGCACTCGCCGTTGCGCCCGCACGCCGCGACTTCTGGCAGAAGCACGATGAGATGTGCGTTGCGCTGAAGAGCGCCCGCAGCTTCGAAGACATGGAGGCTGCGTCCAGCACGCTGGGCCTCCGGGACAATCGCAGCCACGACCTCATGCACATCGGCCTGCGCCACTTTCGAGACGAGGAGCGCTTCGCTGAGCTGCAGCAGCAAGAGGCGGCTTCACCTCCGTACTCAGCATTGCGCGCACTCAGATTCGACGGCATCAACGCGTCGGATGCCATCGCGCGGCTGGAGTGCGCGAAACAGCATTTGGTGGTCCGCGAGCGTTGGCTGATCGATGGTGGTCCGATCTCTTCCCGCTATCGCATCGGGAATGAGAGTGCTCTCGTCGTCGCGACGACCATGCGGCTGCTGCCCTCCGCGCTGATGGGCGTGTGCATGGACATCCTGCAAGGCTGGGAAGAGCGGGTCCTCAATCAGGACGGATCGTACTACATGTGTGAGGAGCCGGCTGCACTCGTTGGCTTCGCTCTCGGCCACAACCTGCACCGCACCCTGTGGGATGGCCCGATGCTCGCGCAGCTGCTCGAGAAGGCGGTCGAGGTGACGTGTACAGGTGAGGACGTCTCCGAGGCGATGGTCGTGTTCAGCCTTCTCCAGCGGCTGCCGTTTGATCAGATCATATGCGCGGCCAGCTCCTTCAAGCCGCTGAGCGAGCCTGGCAACATGCGCTTCTTCTTCGAGCTCTTCTTTTGCGAGATGGATGACGAGCACCCCTACTTTTGCCTCGGGCACTCCAACTTTGGCTACAACAACCCTGCTGCGACGCTCTGCGAGGTTGTCAACGCTCGTGCGCTAGCCGAGCTCATTGCCATCACGGTTGAAGAGGAGCAGCAGTACGCGCAGAACGACGACCAGTACCACCACAACGAGGCGCCCGACTACCACGAGCTGACGGTCGACCTACTGCGCCGCTGGGTGGAGGCCAACAATTTCCCCGAGTCGCAGCTGCCGCGCGAGGAGGAAGACACCTTCTCTGGCATTCTGGCCTCGCTCCCGGACGAGGTCAAGGACTCGATCGCTCGCGACGCTCTCTCGTGGGTGCTCGGATGCAGCCGGCTGCCCGCGGCGGCGAAGCGGATCTGCAACATGCTTGCATGAGACCATGGCATGAACTTTTCATTGACGCACATACACGCGAGTCGCGAGAGAGCCGTGGCGGCAAATGCGCGAGACATGGCGCGCATGATGGAGCGAGAGACAGGGTCGAGGGAGGGAGCCGAGCACGCACGCAGTGGGAGTCTATGCGCGCTGGGACTGCGCCCGCTGGGACCCACACACTGATCTGAAACGAATATCGCGTACCTAGGTACGGTGAAGACAAAATACAGAGACCCACATGAATCAAAACCGTAGTTGGCACGTCGCGCCCCATGACGACATGACGCCCCGCTTACCCCGTGGTGTTACCCCCTTACTCGTACCCCCCTCTCAGCTCTCTCTCTCCACACACAATACTCACACGACGCGCCTACTCTTACTCGACCACACTCATCAGCAATGAGACACCCGCCATGACCCACTTTGATGGCGGCTTTTTGGTCTTCAGCCCGGCCGTAAAGACGTAGGTGGGGCCGCGGAACTGCGTCTTGTAGACGGGGCACGCGTACTGATCTCGGCTGTCAGCCTTCTCCACCGGCACAGCCTTGACGAGCATGACTGGGAGCTTCGGGTACAGCTCCTTCATGTTTGCGTCCTCAATCACCCCGCTGTTGACGTCCCAGCGCGCGCCGTCCATGTACATCCCGTAGATGTACGCCCCCTCGCGGACCGCGGACCGCGCAGGCGGCGTCGACGATGCTCGGCAGCGCATCTCTCATCGCGGCGGCGAAGCCAACCTCGAGGTGACCGCCCATGATGTTGATGTAGATGTGGCGTAGTACGTCGGTGTCCGGGAAGGGCGTTGCGATGGTCGCGTAGTGCCGCTGCAGGCGGTCGATGATGAAGAAGGAGCCCGAGGTCGGGTTCATTGACGCGACGTACTGCACGTTCTCAAGCTTCTTCATGGAGAGCTTCTTGAGGTCGTAGAAGCCACCGTAGTCGACCTGCTGCCGCATCAGCGCGATGGGCGGCTGCGTGCCGTACTTGTCCGGGGTCGACATGTTGATGTCGTCGATGAAGTAGACGAGGCGCTTGTTGCCGGGCGGGCCAAAGGTGGAACCCGTCTTCTTCTCGAGCGGCTGCTCCATCATGAACTGCAGGTCCGACGCCTCGGTGAACGAGTTAAACGAGATGTTGTAGGTTGCCCAGGCGTCCTCGTCGAGGTCAGAGAGCATGCTGGAGAGCAACACCGTCTTGGCAGAGCCGGCGTTGCCGACGAGCATCACCGGCTTCTTGAGGTTCAGCATCATCGACGCCAGCCACTTGATGCGCGTCGTGTCCATCGTCGGCACGAGCAGCGTCTGGTACGGAGCGGTGCGGTCGTGCTTGTACGTTGGGATGATCTCGTTCCAGTGCAGCAGCTTCTTTGGCTCGCCCTTGCCCGTGTTCGGGTCGATGAAGTAGTCAAAGACGAGGCCGCCCTCGGGGAACTTCAGCGTCGTCTTGGAGAACTCGCCGCGCCAGTACGCGTCGAACACCTTGCGAAAGTCCGCACCCTTGTCGGAGCCGTAGGCGCCGCCGAGCGCCCAGATGGTGGCGAACTGGAAGTAGACCTCGTACACGTCCTTCTCCGAGCCGGGCGGGCAGTTTGCGGGCGTGAGCAGCCCCTCGAGGATCTTGCACACAACCTGCACCATTGCAAAGTCCATCAGCGGGGTCACGTGCTTCCACTTCTCCTTGCGTGCGTAGTCGAGCGTCGGCGTGACGAACTGCTCAAACAGCTGCTCGAGGATGGCCTGCGTCTTCTGGTCGCCCATGCCCTCGACCCACATCTGCACGTACGGCTTCCACCCGACGTCGTCCTCATTCATAAAGATGACGCCCGCACGCGAGACGGTGGCGGGCGAGGCGTTGCGCAAGTGCGAGATCTCGAAGATCATGCGCATGGGCGCGGTGAGCGGGATGCGCTCGTTCGACACCAGCGTGAGCACCTTGTTGTCGTCCATGACGGTGTTCATGGACTCGATCCACTCAGCGTCGATGTCGTCGTCCAGCACGATCCACTTCGGGTTTGTGCTCGTGCTCTTGGACTGCTCGCGCATCGCCTTTGCGATGATGCCGTCGTACGGCTCCTTCGTCACGGGGTGTACGTAACCGTATAGGTCGTTCGTCGTGACCGACTTCGGGTTGATGCCTACAAACTTGGTCGAGCCGCCGCCCACCTTGAGCTCTGTCTGTGCGTCGGCCAGCGTCCGCCACAGCTCCGACTTGCCCGAGCCCGCACAGCCGAGGACGAAGACGCAGTGGCGGACGTCCATCATCTCGGACAGGTTGCAGATCTTGCGCACAAAGACCTCCTCGGCGACAAGTCGGCCGCCCTTGGCGATGACCGTCTTGACTGCCTTGGACAGCTCCTCGTTCACCTGAGGCGGGCACTCGACTCGCGGGAACAGGTCGAGGATCAGGCCGCCGAAGATGCCGTAGTCGGCCGCGACGAACTTTGGCAGGTTGGTGTCGCGCAGCGCGCGCATGAGGATCTGAGCCTCCGACTTGTCGGGCTCGGCGCGCTTCATGCCGCCGGCGATACGCAGTACGCCCGTCATGGCGCGCAATCCCCAGTCGTAGTGGTGCTGCTTGGAGAGCAGCTCGCGCGACATGTAGTAGAGCTCCACAAACTTGTGGGCGAGGTTCTTCGAGTCCTGGAAGCCCTCGCCCGCCAGGTTGATCTCGGCGATGTTCTCAAAGTCGGGCACCACCATCGCGCACGGCCGGAACAGCGCCTTGAGGTTCTCGGGCAGCTCAGTGCGGCCGGCGTAGCCGGGATTCATGGTGATGAACGCGCCGACCGAGCTCTTCAAGTTGATCGTCTCCTCCTCGAAGAGGAACTCGGTCTTGCCAGCGCGAATGCCCTGCAGCACCGACGAGTACTGGCCGGCGACGACGGAGAGCACCTCGACGGCGATCCGGTTGAACTCGTCGAAGCAGCCCCAGGCGCCCGTCTGCGCGAGGCCGGAGAAGATGTTGGCCATGACCTTGGCGTTCATCTGGTCAGAGCAGTTCATGACGATGACCCAGATGGCAAGCCCGCGGCCCAGGTCCTTAGTCGTCTCCGTCTTGCCGGTGCCGGCTGGCCCGGCGGGCGCGCCTCCCATGATGAGGCGCAGCGCCTGCGTGAGCGTGATGTAGCAGCGGTCGGTTAGCGCCGTGATCACCAGCCGGCCCGGGTTGCCGACGTACTCGTAGCTGTACTTGAACTCGGCGTCGCAGATGTTGATGTAGCAGTCGTCCCGCGGCTCGTCCCACGAGTACTTGAGCTGGCACTGCCACGCAAAGGCCTGCGCGTTGTCAACCTTTTCGTCGATCAGCTTCTTGACTATGTCTCGGCCGTGGACGTCGATCGTGATGAGCGTCTTGATCTTGACGCGCATTTCCTTGGAGAGGTCGCCGAGCACCATGTTGGCCCACATGGACAGGCCCTGCATGCACTGCTGCAGGTACTCCTTCATCGCCTGCTCGTTGCCCTGCTCAAGGCGGTCAAAGGCGGTGTACACCTCCGACGTCCAGTGCACCTGCGAGGTCGTGATGCACAGCTGCGCGATGTACATGCCGACCCACTGCTCGCGCGGAACCTCCACGTACGCGTTGATGCAGTCGAAGAGCCGCTGCCGCAGCATGCCCTGCTGGTGGTCCATCAGGCCGTTGAGCCAGTCCTCGACCTGCCCCGAGCACTGGTAGGGCTCTGGGTACGGGAAGAGCTCCTTGTCAATGGACACGCAGCCCTGCGCCAGGCCCGTCTCGGCGCCGGTCGCCTCATCCTTGGCCCACGTGATGCCGCCGGTGGCGTCGGTGAACTTGGAAAAGTGCTCCTGCACCATTGGCGGGTTACGGCCCTTCGAGAGGATGTCGACGAGATCGACGGCCGAGATGAAGTAGAAGCGAGGGAAGCGCCTCTTCTTCACCTCGAGGTAGTCCGAGAGCGACTTTTGGCAGAGCTCGAGGTTGGCGAGGCACTTGTTGAAGGCCTCCTCGCGGCCCTGGGCCGTGCACACGTCGATGGGGCTCGTTGCGGTGACGGCGTCGGTCATCTGCTCGCGGAACTCAGAGTCGATCTGGTCGAAGCGCTTTGCGTCCTCCGGCAGCTGCTCACGAATGTCCTCCGAGCCGAGGAAGATGGACTCGAGCGAGCACCACGAGCGCTGCACCTCGAGCCAGACCTCGAGCACCGAGCGGACCGTGCCGAGCTTGCCCGCCCAGTCGGTGATCTGCGTCTCGAAGAATCCCATAAAGCGGTTGCCCTTCATGTTTTGCAGCACAACCTCGTTGTCGTCGAGCGCCTCGTAGACATCGGGCGGCTGCTGCAGGATCTGGACGCCGGTGTTCTTGAAGGGCGCGTACTCGAGATTGAGCCCGCTCCAGGTGTGCGCAATCTTCTTGAGCTGCGCCTCGAGCTTGATCTCGGCACGCGCCTGCTCGACCACCTCCGAGACGCCGTCCTGGAAGTCGTGTAGCTGCAGCGCAAGCAGCGACTCGAGCTGCAGCTTGTTGTCGAGGATGAACGACTTTCCGCACGTCGCCATGAGCTTTTGCCAATGGCGCTCGCGCATCGCGTCGTCGCGCAGATCCTGCACGAGCGGGAGATCGATCGCCATCTCCGACATGATCTTGACGAGCCCCTGGTAGACGTCCCACTTCATGGCCTGGCGAGGCAGCACCTTGATCTCCTTCTGGAGCTTCTTCGTCTCGTCGATCATGACGTCGGTGTCCACGCGCGCCCAGAGCGTGTTCTTGTACGAGGTGAAAATCTCGAGCACGAGCTGCACGTGGTCCCACACCACCTTGAGGAACTGAAGGCTCTTGCGGCACTCGCCTATCTCGCGGAAGTTTATCGCCTGAGTCAAAGAACTTTAGGAGCGGCGCCCCCGTCTCCTCTCCGCTCGCCATCTTCCTGTACTTGTCCGGCTTGCTCATCTTGAACAGCCCCATGACCCGCTCCTCTACCCAGAGGGAACGCGCATCGGACGCGGGCTCCATGGCGGAGGCAGCGCGCCCCCCGGAGGCGAGCGCCTTTGGCAGATGGGCTCGATCGTTACGAGCTGCACTTCGCACAAAACAGAATTTTAGTGTGAATTCAAGGTAAGCCCGGCAGCCCCCGCGCGAGAATCGGCGAGAGACTGCGAAGAGAGATAGGAAGAGGCAGACTCCCTAGGGTGGGCGACGGCTAGCGCACCACACACCTCTCCTTAAAATCCCTGTGTGGTGGCGGCGTGCCGTCCTCCCATCCCTCCCTTGGGTTGTCTGTTTTCTTTCTTTCTTTCGGCAGCCCCCGGGGGGGGGGAGAGCGGAAGTTTGCAAGGCTCCGCAACAGGAAAATGAAGAAAAGTCAGGCGATTCGTGGCCCGCCCGCCGTCCAAGCGCCACCCTGGGCATCATACACACACATGCGGGTTGTAGCTTTAGCTGCAGTCGGCGCAGCGACGGTGCTGTGGTGGTCGCAGTCGCGACGGAGGCGGGCCAGTGTTCGTGAGCAGTACGAGGAGCTTGCAGGTTCGTACAACGAACGGTGGGCGGCATATGTCCAGGCGACACTCAACGCGTTCATGTCCTGCGCGTCCGAGCCGCTCCGCGACCTCACAGCCGGAGATTGCGTGCTGGACGTCGGGACGGGCACGGGTGCCGTGCCACGAGCAATCTTGCGCAGCTTCCCGGGGCTCAAACTCTCAGCTGCAGACCTGAGCGAGAGCATGATTGAGACGGGGAGGCACGAGTGCCCGGCCGTCGACTTTGTGGTTGCGCCAGCAGAAAGCCTGCCCTTCGCATCCGGCAGCTTCGCTGCTGCCACCACGCTCTCCTCCCTCCACTTCTGGACAGACCCGGAGAAGGGGCTCAGGGAGATGCACCGCTGTCTGAAGCCTGGAGGCCGGGTGGTGCTGAGCGACTGGTGCCACGATTTCGTGGTGTGCAAGATGTGCGCCTGGTACCTCTGGCTCACGCCAGGCCACTCCAAGGCGGACTGGTCCATTCTGACGAGTCGCGATGTGAACGGGATGCTGACCAAGGCGGGATTTGTCGACGTCGCCTTCACCACCTACAAGGTCGACGCGCGCGTCTTTGGCCGCTGGTGGTTGCCGCGCTGGGGCATGATGGCCTTTGTGGCGCGGAAAGCCGAGCAAGGGAGCTGCGCCGTGGGCCGCGATTCGCGCGAAGGGAGGAAGCGAGAGCGAGAGTGAGTAACCGTAACATTCTTTTTCTCGGTGTACCTGTGTGTAAGAAAAGAAAGAAAGAAAAGAGAGAACCCAAGGGGGGGATGGGAGGACGGCACGCCGCCACCACACAGGGATTTTAAGGAGACGCGTTGTAATTCTTTTTCCTCAGCGCACTTCTCCTCGTCGAGTCACTCTCACTGGGCGCGCGGCGCATCATCGCCTCTGATATGTGGAACCATCCCCCTCCCTATTCGCACATGTACGGCGCCCGGCCAGGTTACCCGCCGCCGGGCTACATGCCAGGCTACCCACCACCGCCGGGAGCCTATCCGCCCGGCTACCCTCCTCCGGGTTATCCACCGCCTCCAGGGTACGGTGCGCCGATGCCGCCGCGGCCGCCGGGTCCCCCCGTGCCCCCGTCTGGCCCCGTGCCGCCGCCGGGACCGGCGCCGCCAGCTCGGCTGCCCCCTGAGCGCTCGTGCACGCTCTACATTGGCAAGATCCCGGCGGCGGCGGCGGACGCCTTCATCGCCGAGCTCCTGTCGTGCTGCGGGACGCTGATGCAGTGGAAGCGCTCGGTGGACCCCGAGTCGGGCCAGTCCAAGTCGTTTGGCTTCTGCGACTTTGCGACGGGCGAGGGCGTGCTGCGCGCACTCCGGCTGCTGCCCGCGGTCCGGCTCGGCGGCGCCGACCTGATGCTCAAGGTCGACCAAAAGACGCACGACTTCCTGAAGGAGTACGAGCCGCAGCGCAAGGCGGCGCTCGCCGCGCTCAAGGGGACGCCCAGCCCGGCCGACGCGACGCAGATGCTCCCCGGCGCCGACGAGGAGAAGGACCCTCACGCCACGGCGCGGCTCTCCGAGATCACGCAGGCCTGGAACGCAACCTACGCGCCCGAGGAGAAGGACAAGAACGCACAGGTGGCGTCGCAGCTGCTCACCTCGCTCACGTCGGGCGCCGCTCCGCCGGCCGCCGCCCCCGTCGGCTTCGCGCCCGCCGCGCCCGCCGCGCCCGCCTTTGTCCCCTCGAGCACTGACGCCTCCAGCAGCGTCGCGGCGCTGCAGCAGGCTTCCGCGGCGCTGCAGCAGGCGGACGCAGCGCGCCAAGAGGCGCCGCGCGGACCCGAGAGAGAAAGGGGGGGGGGGGGGGGGGG